TCAGCAAAACAATGGGGGTAAATCTTTAATATGAGGCAGGATTTATCAATTTTATTCCTCAGCTCTATGATATGTCATATTTCTAACTGGAGTTATAATTTCAAATAATAAAAAAAGAATAGTGAATAAAATGAAAAGTAGAACAGTAAAAACAACTTTTTAAAAGAGTGTGTGTAACATTGGCAGCACTAAGGCAATTACGCAGTTGAGCAAAAATCTCAGTCTTAAGGAACAATGAAGGTATTCCAAGATCAATAATAGGGATGCAATAAATAAATGATCAAACTGCATACTTTGGGCTGAATTTTAGTTTTCTTTGATTTACTAAATGACATTTGAAGTGTCATGTAAGATTATCCTTCATATTTTTAATACTGCAAGTAGAATTTTGTGTTACTTTTCATGACTTATCAGTGGTTTACTGTTTAATATGCATTTATTAACCTTAAAAAATGGAAGCCAATGAGAAGGTGAGTTTCACGTAAAAGAAAGCCCAATTACAGCCAACTTTAGGGCAAGTCATCTAATCTCTTGTGAAAGCCAGTGTCATCAGTGGAACAGAGTGCAGCTTGATATTTAATAAACTCCATGGGGAAATAAAGATTTACATTATTAGAAAGGGTACTTACTATAACATATTGAAGTTTTTTCTATTTCTCTCCTTAATAGAGAAGTGACAATTAAAACATAACAAAAAATAAAAGTATAGAAAAATGTTAGATTGTTTCCATTTTAAGGTAGGAAAAAATCTAAAGAATTTGCTGCATAAATAATATGGTAGGACAGCGTGCTATGAATCTAAATTTATGCTTCAAAATTATAATGAATACTAATTAATAGTGAAAAAGTTTTGGAGCAATGATGGAATATACTGATCTATAATGGATTCGAATTTTGGATATCTTAGACAGTAAAAGCTTAGGAAAAGGGTACACGTTTACATCTAAACAGAATGAGATGTCACTGCCTAAATTAATAATGCAAACTTGAAAAATAGCCCCAGGTTCAAAAGACCAATTATAAAATTCTTTTGTAAACAAATCTATATTCACATTTTTCATGAATAATTATAACTACTAAAATTTCTCCACTAATGTTTATAAATTTATAAAATGAAAAATATATTTTCAAATGAAATTTAAATAATACTTCAGTTTCTAATGATGGTAATTTACCTGCAAATAAGTGTTAATAATGACAACAACAGGAATATTCTACAGGAATAATGTTTATCTATTTATATTAAGCAGACAAAAATCTAAATATGAAAAAAGTATTTAAATATTTTAAGCAAGAAAATATTATGGAAGAATACTGATAAGACAAATATGACCATATTTTCTCAGGAAATATGTGATCATCTTATACATACTTTTATTCTACAGAAATCATACCTACTCCAATTTCTTTATCTTGTGAAAGAAGATACTTTGTTGTTGTAAGGTAGATATGGTAAGCATTTTGTTCTTCCCATGCTATGCAACCAAAACAATCTTTATGAACTTAACTACCTGCTCATTTAAAAATCTTATTCTCCTCAACAAGAAAACGAAGGTATCCATTGAAAATTCTACATTTCATTCATAGTCACTAACTTTAGGAGTGTTCATCTATTTGGAAGTTTTTCATACTCCTGGTCAAGTTAACTTGTCTTTTGTTCATTAGTAAAAGCAAACCCAACCTTGTATATACGCAGAATGACAAAACTGTCCTGTGAACAGAAAGTGTTCAAACTATTTACTTTCAATAATATTCAAATTATTAAAAAGGCTTAAATAAAGATAAAATCACCCTTTTATCAAGGACTTTAAGCATTTCAACAGGAAATGTGATAGCAAACACTAGATGTTTGCCGGTGATCCTGAGTATTAATTCATAGGAGAGTGACAACAGTCTTAGAAAACACCAGCTCCTTTTCACGACAGTGCCTCACAGAGGTCTGATACGGACGGGATCCAGCTGGATGCAACGCACCGCTCAACGGACGTGATGCTACTTCAAGGTGATAACTTGGATAGGGGACAAGTAACACGACCTCGACCTTCGCAAAAGTATAATACAATTTCAAGCCCTGAAAACCTGAAATACTTAGAAATATGTTCATGCAAACAGAGACTTGAGTGTACCAAAACACAGTACTGATCAGCCAAACAAAATTCACATCCCAATCTTTGTAGTAGTACTATTAATAGCCTTAAGTCATACTTCTATGAATTTCTTCCAAAAAAATCATGGACACACACAGAGATTTTAGGTAAAAGTATTTTTGGAGTAAAAACCTGAAAATGGCAGAAATGTCTAAAAATTTAATAAAGTTATTATTGTTTAACAATCTAACTAGAGGCCATGCAAGTATTAAAATTACATTGAAGAAAAGAGTGGTTTTCAAACTAGGCCTTTTGAAACTCTAAGGTATTTCAGTCATTATCTAACAATTGATTTGGGTTTTTTTTTTTTTAACAACTTCAAAAACTGTAAAAAAAAAAAAAAAATCCATCATGGCATGTATTATAATTTTCAGACACTAAAGACCTTCAAGGCACTGAAACTCTTGCATTACCTCACTGAACAGTATCTTGAGGTTTGTCAGGTCAAGTAAAGCCTACAACCATCTGAAGTCCTAACCTGAGACGAGAGTGAAAACAAGGGCTGATGTGCACAGCCAAGCTCTGGATAAGTGATCTAGTGCGTTCCTCACCGCACGTCAGCAGTGTTCCTGAAGTTCGTACCCAAATCATTTGTCTTTTGTAAATGAGGAAGAGGCTGAACGGCTGCAGTGAGCCTCAAGAGCCTGAGCTCCTGACGACCCGCCCCTGCTGAGCGCTCCCTGCAAAGTCATAAACTGGACACCAAGGCTAATCCAACAGCAACTGTTAGCAAGAACTCCCCCCATTTGAAAACTTTTTGCTTGTCAAACAGTCTTATATGATATTCGTTAGTGTTATAATAAGTGACTTACAGGCTGTACCTCTGAAATCTGTAACTGGTAGACACCACTTTTATCTATTTTATACATGGGGTCTGTACAAGATCTTGTTTGAAGTAACAGTTCTACGACTTAAAAATTATAGTTTGAGAACCACAGTTACACAGGATTAATGACATAAGGTGGTTATACAATTTGTTAAGTGTGAAAAATAAAATTTATAATGAAAGAAACCACCAAAAAAAACAATGATTCAAAACAGGCATAAAGTACAGACTGAAAGAATATAATCCTAACAGCTAAGAGAGATAATTAAGGGAAATTTTTATAAATTTGTAATTGTTTTCCTGTGTTTTGCAGGGAAGGCAACTACAGTATGACCTCTAACAAGGAAAAAGAGCATTCAATAACGTTTGTTGTTTAAAGAATTCGTACTATCAGCTCCTCAGAATTTCTATGTCTACCTCTAATTGGATCACCATTTTATTAAATCTCAAAGAAACACCAATCTAGTGTTAGGCAAAGACAGAACTGAGAAAATGTGGAACGAATGAATAATTGATGAATGAAATATACCCGTAATATGTCTGTACTATTAGATGACCTTCAACATAAAACTTAATGCAATAATGAGGATAATAATAGAGATTATGGCAATATATTTACTGAACGCACAGGCTATATCCACAGGAATACAAAAATCTATTTTTCAATGAAGGCTTCAGGTTTAAGGTATATATTCTGATATGTAACAAAGGCAGGCTGCACTGAAGAACTACCCTCAACGTTTCCACATCTTCATGCACAACAGGGCCCATGAGACCTTCAGCCCCACAGTTGGGCTGATCAAGGCTGATCCCTCAGCTGCCTGCGCATCGCATGGTGTCTCAGAGACCACAGTGAGCTCTGAAGTTATGCTCACAGGCCCCCACACACACAGCGTGATCGAGCTGCAACCTACAGCCGCCTTTCATTTTCCACCAGGCCCGGGATATGCGGACCTTGTCACAGAGTAAAACAGGCTCATTCGCCACTCCTGCTTCTCTGCCCCCGTGCTTTGCGGCCTCTGTGAAGTCACTCTGCAACCTGGCAGATGTCACTTAGCCGCTGTGGCCTCCACGAGTGGACGGAGCACTCATGACCTCCAACATGCTCTCAGCACAGAAATGCCACGCTGTACCATCACCTCCCTGCATCCTCACAGAACGCACATGTGACTGAAAGCTGCCCATCTTTTAAGCCATGGCTGACAGGCTTTCTCCTCTAGCAGGACTGATCTGGTTCCTTCTCTTTGCACTCCCCTGGCGTTTTTAAATACCACTGACATCTGTATTAGAAATATTTACTAACACTACCATTACAAGCCACCCATTATGCTACAATATCCTTAAAGGCAGGAAGCATTTTTTACATTATCTTCATTGTCTAAATGAGTGACTCACTCATAGTAGATGAGATGCCATATGCATTGAATAACTGATTCACTGGATGGTTCCTTACAGTCACTTGAAAGTCAGGTGCATCAATGGATTATAAAACCTAAATGTGGGACTTCCCTGGTGGAGCACTGGTTAAGAATCCGCCTGCCAATGCAGGGGACACGGGTTCGAGCCCTGGTCCTGGAAGATCCCACATGCCTCGGAGCAACTGAGCCCATGCGCCACAACTACTGAGCCCACGTGCTGCAACTACTGAAACCCGCAGGCCTAGAGACCGTGCTCTGCAACAAGAGAAGCCACCGCAATGAGAAGCACGCGCACCACAACGAAGAGCAGCCCCCGGTCTCCACAACTGGAGAAAGCCGCCGCGCAGCAACGAAGACCCAACGCAGCCAAAAAAAAAAACAAAACCTAAACGTTAAGATTGTAAAAAACGGAAAAATGTTTTACATCGTTTAAAACGGTCACCAAAATTAGGTGGTGTAATAAACTCCCACTCCTAGTACATGAATCATGCTTTAAATCAGGCTAGTTCACGTTACTCAAAAACACAATTCGTTTATGGTGAGTTTAACAGGATTTTCACCCACCATGATGACCCACTTGATTCCACTTGCTTCATAATGGATCGTTACCTGTAGTCACACCAGGGGCACCTGTAGGGCTTCTCTCCTGTGTGTACCCGCTTATGCCGCGTCAGATGAGATTGGGTCGTGGAGGCAAAGTTACACTCATCACATTTAAAAGGTTTTTCTCCTGAAAATATATCAAGAGGAGTTGCAGGTGAATAATTACAAATATTGGAAATGAAGGGCTTAATCTGTTATTAACAATTAAAAAGACACTCATTTCCATGAAATTTTAAGACTACACATACTTAGGATGTTTGAATATTTATTCACAGATTGAGAAAGTTAGAAGATACCATTGATTTTTATTTCTCTATGAGAACAGAAGCAAGATATACATTTTGCGGTTCACATGTAACTTATACACACAGGATTCTAAATTATCTAATCTAAATAGAAACACACAGTGAAGCACTCATCCAGATAAAAACATAAATATCAGCTTTGGTTTAGCACTGTATTTTGAGTCATTTAACAAACTGTTAGATTAGGGCCATTATAAAAATCTCAGTGAGGTTAAAACCATGGAAAAGTATGTAACAAAGATATACTTTAAATACACAGTGTAAAACTTATTAAAATCTTAAAGTTAAATATGAAGGAAAAAAATAAAACCAAGCGATAAATTGACAGCAATTTAAAAAGTGTTAGAAGTAAAGAGAAATTGTAATTCACTAAGTTGAGTAAAAGGTAAAGAGGCCTCAAAGAAACATCTGAAATAATATTTAACAGCCCTGTAAATTCCATCTCCCCAGTGTAGATACACCTGATCTCTCTGCACATACAGCTCACCCATGTGCTGGTTCAAGGACCTACCCAGGACTCACGGCCCTCTGATCAATACCTTTCTCTCCTTCACACACAAACTCAAAGAAATCAGGTCTGACTGGTTTTTAATTTCACTAGCTGTACTGGCTGGTGAGCACCTGAGATGGGGTGATTTAATTTTAATTGATGTAAATTTAAAAACTGATACTGAATTCACCTGTTGAAAAAATGTTTAAGTCTAGAACAGCTTGGGAAAGAGAATCTACTTTTTGACATGTAAATTTTATCAAACCTAAATACAGATCATGAATTACAGATAAAATATTTGGCCTCTGTATTGAGATGTGCTGGAAGTGCAAAATACACACCAAATTTTAAAGTCCTGGGGGTGGCGGGGGGAGAATAAAATATTGGTAATAATGTTATATTGACTTCATGTTGAAATGATAATAAATTGTATGTATTTGTTTGAATTATCTATTTATAAAAAATAACTTCACCTATTACTTTTTCCTTTTTTTAATGTGGTTACCAGGCAACTTAAAATGATATGTGTATAGCTCACATTACATGTGAACTAGAGAAAACCTCACCACCTCTTCCTCAAAACACAGTTGTGATATACAGAAATACTCTTGTCAAGAGACATTTTTCCTGAGAAAGTTTACACATAGGACGGATTAATTTTACATATGTAACTCCACTTGTTGCTTATTTCCCATGTTTTTGTAATAGTGTTATAAGTATACTAACATATAGAAAATGAGGGATGAAATATCTTGGTTTAAAATTACATCTATTCAGCTAGCAACAAAACTATGTCTGCCCTGAAAATCAGAACGTTTAGAAATTTGTCCTACATTCTCTAAGCCTGTTTATATGGCCTTGCCCATTAACTGCAGTAATATTTACTGAATGCATACACATCTCATCTGATGGCATTTTATCTGTCATTGCAGCCCAGGGCAGCAGTTAGAAGAAACCAAAAGGACTTCAGTCCCAGTCCAGGTTTTGCCATATTTCACTCCCTACCTGGTAACCCCCTGAACAAGATCAGGAGGATAATACACAGAACATGGAGATAACTGGGAGGATTAAAGCAGACAAGGCATAGGTAAGATACTTAGGAGCGTGCCCAATAACCAGTGCTTCATCATTATGGGGACAGGACTGCCTAAACACTGGAAACTGCAAACTACTCTCACAAAGATAAAAGAAGCAGCACACAAATGGCTCTCATCAAGAGCTCATAACCAATAACAAAGTAAAAACCTATAATATACATAAAATAATTAATGGCTTCGCAAAGTTAGTGAACTTGACATAGAGGCATCATTTAACAGATCTTACCAGGAAATATTTGACTTATTCTTGTAAAAAGAAGACCGTATACACAGCAGAGTAAAAATCTTGGAGTTGAGAGGGGGTTTTGTCTCTTTTAGCCATTTCCCATATACTACACCTCAATCAAGTGGTCACCCAGAGTCAGCCTAAATAACTCTTTGTTCTCAGTTTCTAAACTGCTGGTTTATAGACAGCTCAGTTGTACTGAACTGACTTATACAAAAAAATAACTTTCACGATGATGGCAGGTTTTGCTTTTATTTGAGGGATAAGACATGATCTTCGAATTGCGTAGAGTTAAATAAAATCACGCAATCTCTTCACATTTGACACGGGAATATTCTGTCATAGAAACATATAAACCTTCATACACAAGCATATCTGAAAACTTCCTCATTCATTATAAAGACTGAATTGCTCATTAAATTCAATTAAGAGTATCTTAACTGTACACCAATGTCAAAGAATAGTTCACATGGAAAACAGAAACACAAAGGGAAGCACTCACCTGGATGAAAACACTCATTATTAATTACTTCAGTGACTTGACATCACCTGTCTAGACCTGACACAGGAGGCAGAATGGAGCTCTTACCACGATCAAAGTAACGAACATAAGCACCACCACAGAGGTATCCCTGTGCCCTGTCTTTCTTCTGCTCGTTCCATCCCCAAGCAAATGTTCATTGCTTTCTTTCGCTATGTATTAGCTAATACTTTCTAGAAATGTACACACATGGAAGCAGGCGGTATGTACTTCTCTTCTGTCTGGCCTGTTTCTCCCAGCTTTATTTTGTGCTTCACTCCCATTGCTCCAGGTGTAAATACGTGATGTATTTTTGCTGCCGAGTTGTAGAGTAGTATTCATTACGTGAATGTCACGTGTATCCATTGCTATGGCAGGTACATACGTCACTTCGTGAGAAACTGCCAAACTGTTTTCCGAAGTGGTTTGACCATTTTATACTCCTACTAGCTGTGCTCCAGAGTTCCCACTGCTCCAAGCATCACCAACATGCAGTGTGCTTAGTGCTTTACGCCTGAATTTCTCTAATGATCATTTGAGGACACTTTCATGTGCTTATGTGCCATGCATTTATATTCTTTGGTGAAGTACCTGTTCAAATATTTTGACCCTTTTTTAGTTGGTTGGTTTCTTAAAACTGTGTTCTGAGAGCACTTTATATATTACAGATACAAATCCTTTATAAGAGTCATGATATATACATATTCTTTCCAGTCTGTGGTTTGTCTTTTCATTCTCTTCACAGTGTCTTTTGAAGAAAAATTAATAATTTACAAAGTTTTCAAGTTCTCCATTTATAATTTTTCAAGTTATGATTCTTTTCATTTATGAATCAGGCTTTTGATGTGCTGGTATCTAAGAAATCTTTGATAATCCGTGATCACAAAGATTTTTCCCCTAAATTTTCTTTTAGAATTTATATAGTTTTAAGTTTTATATTTAGATTGAGTTCATTTTTGTATATGACATGATATACGGATCAAAATTTATTTTGATTGCATATGGATAGCCAATTGTTCCAGCATTATGTATTGAAAAGATTAAAGTGCCTTTGCTCTTCTGTCAAAGCTCAGTTGACCATGTAGGTGTGGGCTGTTTTGTAATCTCTATTCCATTCCATTGAGGTATTTGTTTACCTTGATGAAAACACCAGAATGACTTGATTATTAAAGCTTTCTAATAAGTCATGAAGTCAGGTTGTGTAAGTCAAGTTCGTTCATCATTCTCAAAGTTGTTTGATATTTCACTGTTGCATTTCCATATGAATTTTAAAATCAGCTTGTCAGTTTCTTTAAAAAAAAAAAGCTTGAGGGATTTGAAATGATCAATGTGAGAGGAAATAAAATCTTAACAACATTGAGTCTTCCAATCCATGAACATGGGATATCGCTCTATTTAGGTCTTCTTTAATTTCTCTTGGCAATATTTTAAAGTTTCCAATGAAGAGGTTTTGCACATCCTCTGTTAAATCTGTCTCTAAAGGTTGTTCCTTGGTCAAAAACAATGGACAGATATATGCATGAGTCTATTCTGCTCCCTTGATCTATCTGGAAATCTTTATGCCAATACAATACTGACATGACTATTGAAACTATATACTAAGACTTCAAATTAGGTAGCTTGAATCTTCCACTTTTAATATCATGAATCTAAGGGGTCAAACAATTTAAAGATTTTTTTCGTTAAGCAAATTCACAAATATATTCTGACGTCTCCTTATTCCATTCAAACAAAGTGTTTGAAAGTACGTTGGCATCAGACTCACTGCTAACTGGCTTATTCTTTTAGCCTTGGTAGACATCGTTAATCTATCCATTTTTCATGGATCTGGCAGGAATCTAGAGGGGTAACATTATGGAGTCATTGTCTGAGTCAGTGGTATAAATAAAAGGTCATCCAAGCTCCTCAACGTTAAGTTTCTTGGTGAGAAGGTTTAACATAAACACTTAAAAAATATGGTAAATGTATCAATCTTATTTCGTTTAAACTTTTATGGCATTTTTATGTGACACAATTTAAACTTAAAAAAAACACTTTTAAAGAATGTCATTTAGATTCTCTATAACTCTAATAATTTGAAGTTCATGTCAAGCTGACATTGTATCGCAATAAACTATCAATTGTCATTTCATGCTTAACTTGAAAACACAACAGATTAAACTATGTAGTCTTAAGAAATTGTGAAAAATCTATAGGCTGACAGAGAAAAAATATAATGCTACCAAGGTATGCTACATACTAAGCTACAACCACTAAGTAAAGGAAGGCTCAAGCATGTCTGGGCCCTTGATGGAAAAGAACTCTGTGTCAACTTACACAGACTACAGTTTATTCAATCTGTGCATAATAGTTAATTTGTAACTCAATTCTGTTACATGTTCAATACTATTGTTTGAATATGTTCACCGGTATCTCTTTTTTATCCAGAAACAATCATTTCTTCGGGAAATTTCAGGTAATTTCTTCAGGAAAATACACTTCAGAAATACAGAAGTAGCTCTTGTTTGTTAGTCTCAACATATAGCAAAATAAATCGATAAATAAATAACTTCTAGATTGTTAAATGTGAAAGAAAATCTTAAAAATGCTAAACAAGAATTTCAGTTTCCTAATATTTGTTAACTGCATGAAATGAGATAGGTGCTACGTGAGGAGGTGTACACACTTACTAAGGAAAAATTTTTGATGGAGTGATCAAACTGATTTGGTGCATTGGGAACAGTCCTGAATTCTTTGTCATTCTAAAGCCAGAAGGATGAGTAAACCTATGAGTGAGATAGTAACTACCCTTGAATAATGCTATCTGTAAGTCAACAGGGCTGCCTGCATACATCCTGCTGGTGAAATTTCCTTTCTGCCTGTTTCCCTCACATAAGAGTATATAGTAGTTTAAATTGTGTTCTTCATACTTTCCTTTTCAAGCGGTAATATTGGCGAAAATAACCACTGAGGAATATTCTGCACCTGAGGTCCCCGTGACAGCAGAGTAAAAGGAAGCCGGAGGAGGGACACCAACACCGGCATGGATTATGGACAGAGAGAGGTGCCCTTTGTGTGTCAACAATCTGTCAGACGGGCCACCCCTTCTCCTGGAAGCTCGCACCGCATTCCTTTGGGCGGGCTGGTGGTCATTAAGCCGGCCAAGGCTCTTCAACTACATGTGAGGATTTGCTCCTGTGCCCTTGAATCAAGGGTCTCTGACAGGTGACCCTTTTACCAGATAAAAGTAAATCTTGAAGTGGAAGATGTTTTGTGTCAGCCCCCTAGACAGTCTGTATTGCACTGGGGAATTATTTACGCCATTTGGAACACTTTTGATACCTATCCCTTTGCTAGCTGATTGTAGTTTGGGTGGGCACTCTGTAGTAGAAAGGTAAACCATGTCAAAGAGGAATACATCAGAAAAACACAGATTTCAAATGAGCCAAACAAATCTGGCCTTGAAAAAAAAAAAAAGTTATGTGTTGCTTAAATATTATAAATCCAGCATAAACGCAAAGGGCCTAGACTGAGTTGTACTAAGCTGTTTGGCTTAGTACTGTTTGGCTAAGCTGTTCGAACTGACTGTGGTATTAAAGAATCATGTTTGATTTGTGCCACAGAGGCAGATAAATGCCAAAAAGACAGATGCCTCTGTCTGTGAGACATTGTCCTATATGGTATACAGTTAATAGCAAAGTAATAAGGAGCCTCTGGACCTGACATAAAATATAAAGTTGTGCCTGCTCGATGCAGGTTCATGATCGATCACCTGTAAACGCCTGTGATCACAGCATTACCGGCCCCTCAGCAGCGGGAAGAGGGAGCACGGCCACACTGCCAACGGCGGCACCAGGGAGTCTGCTGACGCCCAGGGCCATGCCAGGGCGACACCATCTGCATGGCAACAGTTCGGGCATCAATAAACTGAAACATGAAGAATCAGAAAACCCCACGTGAACACACTTTACCACACATATTCCCAACTTGTCCAACATAGTAGCCAAGGATGACCGCCATCCACTGGGCTCTTCTGCCATCTCTTACACCTAAACTGTAAATCACTGGATTAAAAAAAAAAAAAATGTGATCACAGGTTGCTACTACAAACTTAAAATAGAGTTTTATGTTTACCAAGTTTGAGTTTTCAACATTATATTAACATTGGATATTTCTTGGCTCAATAATATATTAACATTGGATATTTCTTGACTCAACAATTATTATTATTTCTATATTTACCACATATAGAAATTTGAATCATATAAACTTAAGAATCCAAAAGGAATGGCTAGCATTAATTCTCACTGATCTTATAAATACGATAATGGGCATTAAAGCTCCTTGTAGCTAAGCGTTAAATACAGCATATCAAGAATCAAACTGTACCATAAACAACATATTTCATGTACTCTACGTTTATGCCATTTTGAGTATAACTGCCAAACTCAACTATTCTCATGGAACGCAAGTAAAAGTCTAACAATGAGTTACAAATTCTGTTACCATATGATTTATCATCTAAACTAGAGCACTTTTTAGGGTTAAAAAGTTGGTTCTATTAATAGTTACAAGGAACATCACCAAAAATCAGCACTGTCCCAGACATATGTAATTCAGAAGTTAAAGTAATTACTTATAAGACCTATTACAGCATATCAATAGGTAATCAACTTTAATAGATGGTTAAAACTTTTCATCCTTATGTGTTCCTAACCAAGGCATCTAGTTTATTTTGTTGAATCACCAAGAATGCCCATCATGAAAAAAAAAAGGATTCTCTTCAATGTCCTTATCTGCTTAACTCGCCTCTTCACTGCTTTCCATCCTTTTTTTGTTTTTAAAGATTTTTTTTTTTTTGATGTGGACCATTTTTAAAGTCTTTATTGAATCTGTTACAATATTGCTTCTGTTTTATGTTTTGGTTTTTCGGCTGTGAGGCATGTGGGCTCCTAGCTCCCAGGCCAGGAATCGAACCCGCACCCCCTGCATTGGAAGGCGAAGTCTTAACCACTGGACCACCAGGGAAGTCCCGACTGCCTTCCATTCTTAATCGCAAAAATACCTGAAGCTGCAGTGAGCTACAACCACATCTACTTGGTTCCAACCCGCAGAGGGATTGCTGGCTAGAGAGTCAGGTGGTTCCGGAGGCTGAGACAAAGATGGGAAGGCAGGGCTGCTGGTAAGCAGGTGAGAAGCAGCTAAAAGGTGGCGTGAGCAGGGAAGGAGACGGGGAGGGACTGACTGAGAGGAAGGCAGGTCCCCCAGCTTCACCACAGCTCATGGGCCACTCCCAAGGCAGGGCTCTGCCGCAGAGAAGCAGCTGGTATGTCTGCACACAGAAGGCCAGACCCTGTTCTCCCCCTGCTTGACACGACTTTACAGGACACCTGATCCGTAAGACACGCAGCAGGCTTACTTTATAAATACGTAAAAGCAGACGCATTAAAATCTTGTATTATTCAAGCACAATTTTCAGTAGACCCTCAAGTGCACAGAGTTTACAAAAATCGAAAAGACAGGCAATCCAGGGCCAAGAACGAATGCGGGGGGCCCCCCTGGACTGGCTGCCTGCTGAGCAGCAGGCTGAGGGCCGGGTGGCTGGACTGACCTGTATGCTGCCTGCGGTGCTTGGTGAGGGCATGCCGGGTCCCGCCAGCAAAGCCACACAGGTCACACAGGAACGACTTCTCGCCTGTTGCAACAATAAACAGATGAGGGACTGCGGAGGTCACAGATCATTAAAACATATCTATCAAGGCTTTCAGGGTTACTAATTCCTCCAATCAAATGTTTCCATGTAAATATGTCAAATGGGAATGAAATTACCACTGCGGTTTATTGACTGTGATAAAATCTGAAAAGCACCACTGAACATAATTACATACTTGTCAGACCCATAAAAATTAGCTTTATTATCAATGGAATGGTTTTGTACAACTTCATTTCTGGTAGATGTCTTCCAGATGGGGCTGCTTTATGCACTTGAACAGTTTTTATGCATATCCTGATTTTTTACAATTCCCATACATCTGGACTTTCTGAGCTGACTAAAGATTGCTTGGAACTGTTAATATACAGTATACATGATTCTGCTTAAATAAAACATACTGAATTTTCTAACAACTGAAGGATATTGAATCGGTTTCACCTGATTCTATCAGCATCTTCTTTAATAACTTCCTCCTTAACAATATGAATTGAACAGTTTCCCTGAATATACTGAAGACCCCAAGTAACGATAAAATCTACATTTACTCAACTCAGCGCTGTTTATGTTCCTCAAACTTCCATGGCACAAAAAAAGGAGGTCTAGGGATTGCTAAAGAAATTGTATAAAAACTCCTATCATTCATCTTTAGTGATAACTCTTGACTGGAAAACTCTGCAACAGTTAGAGTCAGATTTGGCAGACTTTGTTAAAAATGTTTAAATGCTCATTTTTAAAAACATTTTTACACAAGCTAACATTCTGCCCTACAGTTTATAAATGCAATCTCTCTCTATTCTACAGCATATTTGGCCAATAAGTGCTGACACCTAGACAGTTTATCCCATAAGGCTCCTAAAGAAGAGAAAAGGAGAATAAAAATGCTAACACCTTGGAGAGAGTCAGTGAAATTATAAAATACTTTTCAAAAATAAAACAAATCATTTTATCTATCTTTATCTACTTTATTCATGTGAATGTTTAATGCAACAAGTCTTTCAAGGGTTTTTGCCCACGTCAGCCTGCTTTGTTCTAAAATGTTTAGGTGTCTTACAATAGAAATTTAGCTTGAGGTGTTGTGGAAATGGTAATTGCCTTTTTAAGGTTAGAAAAAATAGTAAATATAGGAAGGCAGAGTAGCTACCGTAATCAGAAAGAGTCTTCCCTTTACCTGAGAGCAATACTAGCTTCTCTAATTTAAATGAACATATATTAATAAAGAGAGTTTTAACCAAATTATGTTTAATCTTATTTCCCAATGGTACGTTAAAATGTTCATTATTATCATTTATAAAATAAAGCTGAATTTAAGTATTTTTCCTATCTTTACTTCCCTATTTTGGGGTTAAGTTCATTCCGTGGCATCATTATATCAATACAGAAAAAAAGAATAGAGTAGATGGGCTGTGAAGAATAAAGTTTAATTGCAATCGCTCATTTAATTATTTAATCAATTTGAAATATAAATCTTTCTAACTAGCTGTATTATCAATTAAATAACACTGAAAGTGGACTTTTTTTAAAATCCCCAAAGATAATTTGCTCGTTAATATTAACATACTATTCTGTGTTGAGACAAAATTGTTCTCTACAATTTATTCATCACCACAGCTTTGTGGGCATTAACCCCTTCGAGTGTGCGGAAATGTGTGTACTGTGGTCCACACATGCACACACAAGCTCACACACACCTACGCATCTGGTGGTATGTGGCAGAGAAGAGACTGGTGCTATGCTACCCAGCCAGCAAAACACCTGATGAGGAAAGAGTATCCTTACTATTTCTGGACTCAAGCAGACTATGATTCCTTTCCCTCGTTTATGAACTTCTTTGCAATCTATATCTTTCTTGTAAGATATAAACATTAACAGACAAGACAAATCCTAATGAAATTTATATTTTTTACAGGTATATGTGCTGCATGTAATGAAATTTACATTTTTACAGGTATATGTGCTGCATGTATATACTAAGTTTTATTCCCTTTCCTATTTTAAGATATGTATAGGCACAAAGACAAAATTATCAATTTTCCATGTGATTTGGTTCTAGATATATTAGTGACCTTGATTTTTTGACGCGCAGGATTTTTATCTAGGATGTTAGTCTGCAATGTATTGTATGTCATATTTACCTTGGTGGCTTGATTTGTTTGTCACTCTAAATTCAATTTTCACTTGCCCTTTTTTTTTTTCTTTTCCAAGGGGGTAGGGGGAGTTAGGGTTGGATAGTGGGCAATTGAGTATTTTTCAAGAAAAAAAATTTTAAGAAAAAACTAAATGTAATATACTCAATAAAAAGGGGGTTCACTTAACATGCCATATTTATATGAGAGCAGAGCTATAATAGGAGACTTTTCTTAACAACTTGAATTAGTTTCAAGTGTGCCATTTTGCTTTCAAATGTAGAAAGACACGGAAACCAATCCTTTATTTTCTATTAGAAAACAGCCACTGTCCCCTATCTCTCATTATGGTGCAGACTACAAGACCTAACAACAAAAATCCATATTATTGATCCAGCCAAGTCTCCACAATTATTCTTTAGAAGGAAACGCCAACGATAAATTACATCTGCACTGGCTTTTCATCTGCTGTTCGATATAAGTGATCTTTCAGGGCAGGCTGGAGACCTTAAATCGTCAACGCCCTTGTCAAGGAAGCTAAGGAGGCCTGGGCTTCCCACAAACTGCTTCAGAAGAACTTTTAACCTATAATTTCTAACAATAATACAGGATTCTTGGCAATCAGAAGAACATTTGGGAATGCTGATTAAAATTTATTTTTTCCTTGAAACAAAACACTTTCTGAGAGCTGTAAAGAGGAAGAAGACCACAGAACAGCAAATGGCTCCCAGTAATGTCGCCACAGTGAGATACAGCAAGCGCTCGACTACACGCTTGTAAGGAGTTTAGGGGCCCTCTGTCCTTAGATAATGAAAAGCATGTCATATACATTGAATAGAACCACAGGGCAGGTAGGAGAAATATATTCATGAAGGTCCAAACTGAGAGGTCTCAGGACCATGCCTAGCACAGATGTATTCTGTGTGCTGCTTTTACTATCAGTTGGTTTAAATTCCAAACAGTCCACTAAATGTTTTGATGTAAAATGTATGTGAATTCGTACTTTTTCAATTATCTAAAAAATTTATACTAGCTAAATTCAGTTTAGTCTCTTTGTAGTAATTTCAAAAACTCTTGGATCTGATAGTATTCTCTTAAGAGAAATATTAAATTGATTTAAAAAATTTCAAGTGGTACATAAAAACCAAGATTCAATAATGTTCAGAAACATTATGGCACGGAGTCCATATCAGTAACAAATATAACACAAGTTCTCTATGAAAATTTAATCTCCTCAAATGATCTTCTATAATGATCACACCTAAAAAGATATGTTTAAACACATACACATATATGTACCCACACACAACATAAATCAGCTTTGAAATATGAAACTTATTTTATGTGAACACATGCACGTGTGCACACGCACACACACAAATATTAAAATGTCACTTAAAAATTACGCTGAGCATCATCAAAACACAAAGCATTGATGCCATACCTTTTAACATATAATTACCACAATCTTAAACTCTTCAAACAGGGATTCCTTTCTACGGACTGCTGCTGCGACGACCACCCCCAACTACCACCACCACTGGGCCCAGGCAGACGGGCACACCTGTGTGCGTCCTGTAGTGGTCCTTCATGGCGGAGGCCGTGAGGAAGGAGTAATGGCAGGTAGGCCAGGTACACTTGAATGGCTTCTCCCCCGTGTGGAGTTTCATGTGGTTGTTCAGGGCCCACTTCTCTGTGAAACTTCTATCACACAGGCGGCATGTAAATTTCCTGCATGGAGTGGAGAGAAAAGGATGCAAATATTACCCTCACGGGAGCACCTCGGGCCCCGACAGGTGCCGCTCCAGCCCTGCAGTGTGGCGAGTTCAGGGTGTCGCGAGGAGAACTGCGGGCCTGGTCTGTCATGTCTGTATAACCAGGCATTGATTTTTCTGTCCAGGCCTGGCACTTCAGCCATTTATTCTCTGCTTTGCGGTTGGGCCCAACGGGTTTGAAAAATTCTGTTACAGTCCAGTCACCCCTGAGGCAAATGTGAGAATAGATTTCACCTGTACAGGCCTACACCACTTATCCAGGGCACAGGCTGTCAGAGCAAAGGCTAAATGAAAAGCTATCCGTACTAAACTACTCAGACACCCCTGCTCTCTGCCAGGCGGAGGCAGCTGGGGCCGGGCGGCACTCAGAGCCCAGCCCGCCCGGAACGGCACACACCACACTGCTCCCTCGGAGGAGAGGCACACTCCAGGGGCGTCTCCTTTTTAACAAGGTGTCTGTCCTTCTGGGTTACCACACAGGTACATAAAAAGTTCCCTTTGATAAGAATAAAAATAAGATTATAAATACAACTTTTCATAAAGTATGCCTTTGAGAAAAAGAAACCTCAATTATTTCCTGTATGGGATGAAAACTGAAAATAACAAATCAATACTCACGTCAGAAAATATTTCAGCCCCACAGTTCCCAGTTAAAGATCTCTGAATACCTTTAATAATCCAGGCAATATGAACCATCAACAAAAAAACTTTAATACTTTCTCTGGTCGAGCTTCTGTCCCTTTTCACTTGCATTCAGGAAATCACCACTAAAATTTACTTTTGATTTCTAATACAATTTAGTTTAAAGCAATCTCTGTGACTAACAAAGTAGTGTCCAGCTAATTAATTCAGGATAATGAACAGTCAAATAAAAGAAAATTAAAACCCAATATTCAAAATTAAAATATTTTAATAAGTTGATAAGCACAATGCCACAAAAGAGACAGACTATGGCAGCTTGATTTGACTATCGTAAGTTGGTCTACACTTTTAGCAAGTTAATACAATTTTAAAAATAAGATTATAATACCTGCGTTTTAAGTTATGATATAAATAAGGAGATATAAAGAGTATATTCTTTACATAAATGCTTTTAACTAAAATTTTACAAATTTTCTTAGTCCCATAAGGGTAGAAAAAAAAATTCCAAGCTCCAATTAATTAATTTTCTCATTTTGAGGCAAATGTGGATTACTTTAACAAATTAATCATTCAGGTTTCACAAATTCTTAAGAATCGAATTATAAAATTACCTTTTAAAAAACTCTCTCTTCATTTGTTATATGTAGTAATATTTTTATAACATTATATTTTAAATGCAACAGAAGTAAAAACTGCTAAATATTTAAGAAATGCCATATAAAATATCTTAAGTGCTTCATTAATATTAAAATTGCCAATTAATATACTTATAGAATGTATGTGTAGAGAAACTATGTTTACGCCACTCAACACAGACCGACTTTGAAATTACTGTATCATTTGATCATTGCTTACTGGTACTAGAGAATGACAAACATAACTAAATACTTAGAAATGCGCTGTAAAAAAATAACATGTCCGTATATCTCTTTGACGGGTCTTCATGCATTTAACATTTCAAAACCATGACAGGGATCTTATTTCCAAGATAAATTCCCCTATCTACTTATTTCTTCATGTATTTATTGTGGATCTAACCTCCTCCTAAAAGAAATAAATAAGGAGGTTAATTAGATGCTATCTTTTAACAAATAGTTACTCCAGACTGTATTACAACTTTATGAATGACAAAATAAATCCCTCATTTTTAAGTCTACCATGATGTACATTTTAAAAAATTACATCTATGAAACCTCAATATATGTACTCTATTACTCATACATAATAAAAATGTTAAACTAGAGCTTAGAGCCTGTCATGATATGACAAAAGCCAGATAACAGAGAACTAAGGCCACCGCCTGACTTTCAGAAAACCTCACATGTTCTACAATTTGCTTTATGAAAATAAGTGCGTGCACTGGTACTTTGAAAAGAACCTGAAATGTTACCAATGTAAAGTGTCCTTATAAAGACTAAGACCTACTCATCAGTGGGGGGTTTCCCGGAACTGCACAATTCTGAGCCTCAAACACTGTAAGCTATCTGCCACCATGCAACGAGTAAGGACGACGTCCATCCAAGGGATCCGCTCTCCTGGGGGCCTTCAGGAAGCCCACCTGGATGTGTCACTAGGACAGAGCCTAAGTGAAAATGTGCAGTTCCGCTCTGCCACGAGAACCCAAGAAGAAGAGGTATCACTGTGTATTCTGCATGTACTTCAGAAAGACCTGAACACCCACTATAGCACAAACACTGTTCGAGACGGTAGAAACAAAGAGGGAAAAGAGTCAGATTTGGCTCTCAAGAAAATCACAGGCTCCTACGTGAGGAAAATCCTTCACGAAGATAACCTCAGTGCCAGGAAAAAACGTAAAAGCCCATCATAAATTTAAAAGAAGAAGCAATTAATGGGACAGGGCGGATTAAAGAAGGTTTCCCAGAGATGGCATTTAATTTAGATGTTGGAAAGCAGGTGGATATGCAGAGCCAGCAGGGAGGAAGGGTAAGGGGCAGTGCGGGGAGAGGCAGAGTGATGGGAGCTCCAGGCCCCGACAGGCTGTGTCAACTGTGGCTCTGTCGGCTGCTGCCCCTCAACTGGGGATGGCCATCCAGTTTCCCAGGTATCAGTGAAGCCCCGGGACCTACACTAGACTGGGTTAAATGATATAAATGCTTTTCTATCCCCACATGGTGGTCTTCCATCAGAAACTTCTTGTTTAACTGAATTGACAACATATTAAAAAGAGATCTATTTGGCATAAAATTCGCTAGTCATCTCTCCTTTTGTGCAGGGAGTTACAAAGTCAGTCAGTTGAAGGATGTACAACGAGTGACAATCACGTAAAAGTACAACCTAAAAGGACAAACAAGATAAGCACACAACAGTATGATGGTGTCTGGTTCACCGTATATCCTATGGCCCATAAAAGTGCCTGGTACCCAGAGGTATTCCATAAATAACTTTGGACCAATGGGATGAAGGGAACTGGTGGTGAAGAGTCTCGCTCCTTACGTAATTTCACCAGACTCAGAGCGGGAATGTGAGATCCGTACACGACAGCAACAGGGGTCATTCAGGCCGCCCAGGGCTCGCAATCCTCATGCTGTTTGGTCTTTTCTCCTTCCTCAGCATTTGTGTTTATTTTATAAATGTCAATATTTCAAACATACAGAAAATGACAGAGATGCATATCTACCACCAAGGTTTATGTACCCAGATGATAATATCCATGTTTGCCATATTTGTTTCATATCCTTCCTCCGGTATTCTAAACTTTTTAAATTAATTTTTTAAATTTAAATATTTATGAACTGAATTAAAAAGAAAAATGGTATGGCAGGCCATGGCACAGGGACAGCAAAGGTGCTAAGGAGAAGGCCACGTCTGCGGGAGAGCAGGTGGAGGTCCACATCATTTCCGCTCTGATGTAATCGAGCTACTTTATAACGTTTGATAAAAAGTTCAAAATGCCAAATAGTGCTACGGACTTGTAATGAAACAGGGCAGTTTGCCATCTCCCCTTTCCTCAGTCTGCACTAGATGTTTCTACTGGATATAAAGTGATCTTAGAAGGTTTCAAAAGAAAAATAAAATCAGAAGCAAAGTAGATTAAAATGGTACCAGACTTCTCAACAGCAAAGCAGGAATTAGAAGACAATGTAGCAATGGTCTGACCATTTTGCGGGCAATGATCTTAAACACAGAATATTCTGCGTCGTCGCACCTTCGAGTGGTTCCTACCAAAGGGTGCTGTCATTACAAAGTTCCTGGCTTCCAGGGATTATTATCCAGTTGTTTGCTGACACTTTTGGAATAAAACCCATTTTCGTGTGGGTAACTGTCATGGAAAAGTCAGTTAAGAGTTCATCTTTGAATGTAAATTCCTAAGTATTCCTAAATTAAATAAGGGCTCCTGGATTAAATTCTAAGCATTTTTCTAGTACTCTCAATATATTTACAGTATGTTTATTTACTGTTACACGTGCTGTTTTATCCCCAGCACCACCACTCCAACACACACATGTGCGCGCACACACGCGCACACACACACGCACACACACACACACACACACACACACACGCAGAATGGCTCTGAGCCTGTGTTCTCGGTGTTAAAACCGGTGGAAGATCTTCTTCGCTGAACTCACTCATGACATGACTTGTAAAACAGAGTCGTGACTAAAACCCACATATCTAGACTTAAAATTTTAAAGACACGATACTAAATATCCTCATTGTTATACATATAACAAAAACTTAAAAATTTCATGGAGGTTTCGCAAGGCATTATGTACATACAAAGTTAAACTAAAGAATTAGTAGGGAGCTGAATTATTTTTATATGATCAATGGTACTATCTTAATAGATACTTCTGCCTTAGACTGTGTTAGAGCAATTGTCTGTTTATGAATGCCTAAAGGGCAGATAAGTTTTGTCAAAATATATAACACTTCTATTTTGAGTTGCGCCCCTAACTTTATCTTTCCATATTACTACACAAGGTAAGTATCCTAACAAGAGAGTCTATACTCATCTTCTTCAAATTATACTTTTAAATGTTATTTAAAAATTTTAAACCCTATTACGTGGGTTATTATTCAGTCAATTTATTAGCAAATTAATTAAAAATCTGCACATATCCCATTTACATATGAAGATAGAAGTATTTTGATACTTGGATGCTTTATTACTTTATGATTTTTGAAATACAGTAAGAATTGCCACTAGTATATTTTTATGTTCTTTTCTAATCTCTCCAGTTCAGAATAATTCGGAATACAGTTGCTTTAGTGATGCATTTTAGAGCTGTAGATATCCTTTGCCTTTCTCCCGGAAAGCCCAGTCTGGGTTAACATGATTGAGAAACTCAG